TATATAATATTCTACTTCTCCCGTGCATACGCAGGTGGGTTTCAGGCCCTGTTTATTTTGCCAGAACTGAGCTATCCTTGTTGGTAATTTCGCTCGCGAGGATGGCGACAGTGGACAGCGATAAACAAATCGAAAACAAACAAATAGTTAGACCTAACAGGCGAGCTAGGTAGGCTTTAGCGCCTGTAAAGTTCAAGGTCAGTTATGTGTACCTACACGATCATCACAAGGGATGTTTGTGGCAATGTGAAGAGGTGTTCGAGGCCCAAAATGATCGACCTTCGAGAACCAACTCCAACCTCAAACGAAGTGATCTCCGATCACTACAAGTACTGCGTTCACTAGTCATTGAAGTGACAGTGCATGCCCAAATAACAATGAAAGAATTTGTGGTCATACGGACAGCAGATCCGTTCAGCGATAGTTTCGAAGTTTAAATGATGGACCTTGATCTGAAGCGTTTTGGATGGTCTCGGGGACGTATTTATACTATTCGTGTAAAGCGAGTTATGAGACCCTTCTACAGTTGCCAAATATGCATTCACGTTAAAATAATCTCTAATTATGACAGTGCGTGTATTTAGTGGTCTTTGCAGCGTTTTTGAAATTTCAAGACTAAATTGTATGAGAAAGCCTGAATTTTTCCCCTTTTCAAACAAACGTAAATATTTCTGCAGGGCGTGGGAAAGGGTTCAAAAAAGAGTCACCTTGTCCGTCGGTGTAGAAAGCCCTTATGTAATTTTTTGATAGAATGGAATTTGCTCTTCAATACGCAATTGAGTTCATTCGGTTTGGTTTGGCGAAGTGTAATTAATTCTGCTTTGAATGTGAATGAAAGTGACTCTTTTTGCCCCCCCCCCCATAATTGTTCCCGCAAGCGACCTCGAAATATGCAACCGCGCACGCTTTTTCATCTCTTTCCCCTTTTGTGAAACCATCGCCAAAGTATTTCAATCACATGCTTTGAGTTGGAGATACCATCAAAGCCATTTTGTTGGAACGCGAGAGAGAACGAAATTCACGTGAATATTCCATTTTTCGTTTCATATAACCACCCTGAATAAAATTTGAATAAAGCACACATAACAATATTGAGATCGGAAAACAAAAACAAAAACAATTTTAATTTCACAAATAGAACAGTTTAATCATATACAAAGCCATTAATTTTATTGTATATAGCACCTCTTCATCTGCACTGTCTTGTCACGGGAATAATACAGTAAAACTCTTGTATAACCAGGGTCAACAGTCCGTTCGGCAGTATTCGAACAAGGGAGTTTGCGATTTGGAAAGGCGGGGGAGGGGATCGCAAATTTTTTGGAAAGATGCGAACGCGACGGTCGAGCGTGTGTATAACCCGTCCCAACGCTTCAATTTTTACCACCCTTTCGCGGAAGCACTTCATAGATGACTGTGTTCAAATAAATCAGTATATAAAGAGATCCTGCTGTTCAAATAGGATCATAATTATAAAGGTGCATATTTTCCGCATATCCGTCTATAAGTGACCTACCTTGTGCCCTGAAAGAAAATGATGCAATGGAAAACGACGGCGGGACATTTTAGTTGCCGACTTTGATCAGCGCGTATTCAAACGCCTAGCCGGTCCCATTTTGAAGCAATATACCTGCGGATTGAAACATCTTCTTCGCAAGAGTGGTATGTTAAATCCAGCAAAGTCTTGTCGTGCTCGAAGTATGCGGTGATCCGGAAGTTCTCGATCAGCTGATGAACGATGGAGGCTTTGAGATGGTTCCGGAACACGATGAATCGAAATTCGCCACAGCTCTTGCTGCTATCAATCAAATCATGCTCTCCTAGTAGAACGAGCTCCATTATATAGTTTGAGATCTAATGTTGGGCCCAACCGCGTCAATGTAAAACTGGAAAATTTATGTCAATCGATTTTTGTTTTTCCTTTTTCAAATTTGTGAATTTGCATATCAAGGCTGATTTGATGGTTAGTTTTTTTTACTGTTGATTATTTCGATTGAGAGCCAAACGTTTGCCATCTGATTTTATAGGACTAATGAAACTTTGTACCTCTCGATTTGTCGTTGTTTGATGACTACACAAAAAATATGTCATTGAGGAACAATGTCTGGCGGAAGAAGGCGGAAGCGGTTTCGGGTTCGATTGTTATAAAACTTCGTATAATAATCATAAGACATCTTCACTTCATATCGGGATGGCGTAGAGAGAAAAGGCGCTGCGTCGCAAAAAATCAAAATCTCGCGCTATCGCAAGATACGGCGGCATTGCTGTAGCAACGCATTCAAAACCACGTAATGCATCTCCTTTTCGACTTGTTTTCGATTGTTAAGTGCTGTTTTTGGCCGCAGTTCACCTTGCGAAAGTTTCACAAGAATGCTTGGGTTATGTGGACAAAACTTTTGCCCAGACGGGACTCAAACCCGCACCTATTGTTGTCCGGGCAGGTGCGCTACTCACGGCGGGCCTTAGGCGATAGGAGGAGTCCAGGGTGCTCGGAATCAATTTCCATTATCCCCAAAATCCCTACACCCGCTGAGCGCAATCCATTACAGGATGCCCCTACTTGCGAAGCGCCCAAAATTCATTCCAGAACAGCCAGGAATTGAGAAAATTTCACATACAGAACTCTCTACTGGTATTTAGGGCTTTGTCAGTGGCAATCACTATTGCATTTTCACAGTAAGCATCAGCATCCCCCATAGGTTAGTGCAGTTATGCGACAACACTGATCATGCGCCCTCCGATGTGCGGGAAAAGACTTGACCTTCGGCGCTTTGATGGAAAAGAAAAAGCGATGAACCATGCCAGGCAATCAAACACCGACACAAGGGCCATTGTTGACCTTTGCGCTAAAAATGTCCTACCCATCAAGCGCATGAGTTCAGAAAACTTTCACTCCCACAATCAGTTTTGCGCTCTAGAAGCCCCATGAAAGGCCAACTCCACTATGCGAAAGATTTTCAAGTGAAAGCGCATACCCGACGTGGCTTAAGAAACACTCAGAATGGAACCTTATGAAAGTACTTGACATATTCCGTATATGTAAAGAGAACTACTGACTGCAAGTGGTCTCCATTACAGTAGCCTTAAAATGCTGCTTTTCGAACGAAATGTTCCTAAGACGTTTACTTATAAGCTACCATGGTTTTATATTATGGGTTATCTTTTGTCCCTTCACCCCTTCTTTGTCTCCTTCCCCCACAGTTACTTCTCAAAGTTACTTATCAAATTACAAATGTAGTTTTCGGTGACCCTCAGGTGGTACTCTAGATTTGAGTACCGATTTGGTATACCACCATTTCCATTTGAGCGCTAACCCACTGTATTTGATAGAAATGCGCAAAGGCATGCCCCAGGAACAAATTGATGTGGTTTTTGCACTCGAATACGAATGCCGACTGTACAAAAATGGGCCGACAGGAAAAGGAATGAAAAATAATCGTGAAAACGTCGGTTAAGCGCTTTCTGTTTTCCGTAATCTATAAAGGATAAAAGGATAAAGCATTTGCCGTTGATCAATCCCTTTTTGGGATGCGGCACGCATTCTACTTCCATTTGTACATTCGTAGTGGCGTTTGAATGCGATGTGGCCTATACAATGACTTGCGGGGGCCAGCCGATGTACAAGTCAGTGTTTTTATCCTCCCAGACAAGTCTGGTACCAATTAACCGACCCCGGAGGGATGGAAGGCTTGGTTGGCCCGGGCGACTCACGACCCAGGATTTGATCCCGGACCGCTCGCGTGGTAAGCGTGCCACTTGCCACTACACCACTTCCGCCCTTAATACTAACCATAAGGCAATAAGAGAGTAGGCGCGGAGAGGAGAGTATGTAGGAGGCGAGAGAGCGCAACAGATGAGAGGGCGCCAGACAACAGCCTGATAAAAGAAAAAATCTGCAGCTTCTGCAGCTTACTTTGCAAGGCCCTAGCGCTGTTGGTGATTTCCGTGCACGGGAATGCCACATTTGTGATTGTCCTCTAGGGGTCTATCCTACACATCGAAGGGAATCGTTCACACAACTTCCAGCAGCGTACTGCCAAGTCATCGAGTTGCTTTGGATGGATTTGGCGCCAATCAAGTATGGTAAAGCGTAGGCAGGACTTGCTTGACTCCACAAGATCTGATCCGGGTTGCCATGCTAAACAGGGCGCTCCAGCCGTGGCACCAAAAGTGTTCATGTTTTAGTATGTCCAAAAAATAAGGAATGTGAATGTAACCTCCATTCAAAAAGCGAAAAAGTGTCGGG